TGACCTCGAGCCTGGCCGCATCATCAAGCAACAACTCGTTCAGCCCAAGCTCAGATCCGGGCATCTATCCCGGCGGGGACCAAAACCCAATCGACGGCTGGACCACCCTTCCTTCCGTTGTCGGCGCCAGCATCGACAATTCCACTCTCACCGTCGGCGACTCACCCGCCACCCTTGTCCATTACATCGACGAGTCGTATAATGCATCAAAAATCAAACGTGCAGTGATTCAGATTCACGGAGAGAACAGAGATGCATGGAATCAATGGCTGTACGCAGATCTCGCTGCAAAGAGAGGAGCTACAGGTGGAAGCTACGATCGAGACGAAGTGGTGGTCATGGCTCCGATGTTCTTCAATACCATAGATGAGGGAGCATATGCCTTTGATTCCACACAGAACTCCGCAAATGCGATCACCAGCACGGAGGATACAGCGGTCACTCCCACGGCTAGGCGCCGAAGTGTGGTGCAGACCGAGGTACCTTTCCAAAGTAAGAGGTTGGAGAGAAGGGGAAAGCACAAGATTCCTTTGCAAAAGGTGTCGACGACGCAAGCCATGATCTGGAAATCTGTCGAATGGGGAGATGGCTCTCCCGTATATGAACCAACAGACGCTGCCGGAGTGGGAAGCTTTGATGCCCTCGACGCGGCCGTCAACTTCTTTTTGGACCGTCAGCGTTTCCCTCACCTCCGCAACGTTGTGGTTGCAGGTTTCTCTCTGGGAGGTCAGCTCACCAATCGTTATGCCACGTTCCGCAACAACACTTCAGAAGACAAGCGCATCATCTTCTGGATCAGCTCTCCCAACTCCTTCGTCTACTTAACTTCTGAACGTCCGCGATCCATTGGCAGTGCATGCAGCAACAACTACAACGACTACAAGTACGGCCTCAACGGAACCCTTCCCCTCTACTACAGCTCCGGCCCATCTTCTTCTCAAATTGACTCTTCCGCCATTATCTCACGCTATTTGAGCCGAACCATCTTCTACCTCGTCGGCAGGCACGATGAGGCGTCGGGTCTTGATTCTTGCGCGCCCAACGCTCAAGGTTTAGCGCATCTGGATAAGATGTATTATTGGACACAGCAGATCATCCCCTCGCTTCCCGGGAGTACAGGAGAGGAAGGCAAGTTGCCAAGTAACAATCTTATCAGATTTGTCGAGGATACGGGTCATCAGGATTGGAAGATCATTACTTCTGATCCCGGAGTTGAGACGTTGATGCTCAAACACTGGTATGCAAATGGAACCGATGCACAGGCGCCGACGAGCAACGGGGTGAGTGCAGGGGACACGCCGAGTAAAGGGACCATCTCGAAAGTCGGGAAATCGAACGATGGAGTCAGAGCTTCGGTAGGGTTACATGTCACAATTGCATTGGGAGTTGTTGCTTCTTTGGCTACGGTGTTGTGAGTACGGTTGATAGCTGCGGAGGAGTATGAATGAGTAGGGTTGTGACCCACTCTGGATCCTCCCAAATATGGTGCAGGCAGGTACCTGTTCCGTCTTACAAATCGAAGCTCGTTGTTCCTTTCACGAGAATGACCGCAGCAAACCTCTTGCATCAACATACAGTATTCGTGTCTCCTCGCGTTGATCTACACACGCATCTCTTATTATAGACACCTAGATTCATATACGCACTATTCAGACTCCAGCTTTTATCCTTCGTTGGTCAATCAGCAGACACTATAGAAGATTCCTTTGTTTTTGTCACTCGTTGCTCCCAATTGCATTTCAACATTAGATCATGTTCATTCCTTGCTTTTGACAAACATTACTCTGGATGTTGGCAAGTTTTTTGTAACGAAAAGTTTTGTGACTTTCGTTAAAGGATTGGGCGTAACTGATGCAAGAGATGCTCGAAAAAAAAGGTTTAGATTGAGTGGATTTGGCAGAGATGCAGAAAACACACAGCATACAGCGGACAACAAAAGTCGGATCGAGTGTAAACGCACAAGCTTTGCTCACCCCTCGATTGCGTGATCTGGTCATCGGCCTTGCGAGCATCGTCAAATTGTTCCCCCTTTAAGTTACTTTGCAGTCGTGCTAGTCTCCGTCTCCACTCGGTCACACAAATTGTCGAGCTCTCAAACGAGTCCTTCAGATCAGACATGGCAACAGACTTTGCCATCTGTTTAGAAACAAACAAAATGTTCATTTTTTAAAAAATAAAAATAAAATAAAATAAAAAAAGGTGAAAGTGATGCCTAGCCGCTGAGATTAAGTCCCGTATCATGGTTACAAGGTTTTATCAAGACGAGAGTCCATCACTCGCCTTGTCAGCCCGCCCGAATTCATCTGCATCGTCCTGCCCACTGCTTACCTCCTTTCCAGCTCCGTCATCCTCAATGTCGACATTCTTGAGTCCATTCACCAAATCACTGAGCCCCTTGGGTATCTCTGAACCCCTCAACGAAATCGTCGCATCATCATCGTCCCCTGGCTCCCTCCTTGCCGCAAACTTTTGTGTCTTGTGATCCACGTCTGCTCCACCATCATTCCCGCCACTATCTTCATCTTCGTCCTCATCCTCGTCAACGTCATCGTCGTCATCATCCTTGAACTTCTCATCTGCTTCGATACTACTACCAGACCCGCTCTGAGCAAGACGCGAACCCCAGGCCGGAGGCGCGTCCTCTTCATCGCCTTCCTGGTGCTCAGGTCTGCTTGCGATCGCAGGAGACGGTGCTGGGGGCGGAACGAGGCCCACTGCATCCACCGCATGACTTGATTGCGATTGTGCGAGACCTTGAGTCAGGAATGTGCGTGGTGCTGCTGTACTACTACGTTCGCGTTTTGCAGTTGTCCCACCGTTGAGTGCAAATGCTGGTGTGGGTCCTCGCGAGAATTCGTTGGCTTCGTCCAAGTCGCGTGCTATCGCACCACCATCGTTGGATGAAGACAAGAAAATCGGCCCATGACCTGGACGTGGAGGAAGGTAATCGGTTGCGGTAAGATCGTACTTTTCCACCAGCACCAGGAAGCGCGAGTACAAGCTGGACTCTGCCTCGCAAGCCAAAAACGTATCCTTATGGTAACACCAAGCATGGACAAATATACGACTCAGCCTTCTGGCGATACTTCCAAAATGCCTCAAGCTCGTATTCGGGACATACGTCCTGCTTGGAAAGTGTCGTGCTGAATTCAACAAGGACGTGGCTCCATCGAGAGTGTGTACCATGTAATCTATCGCGCAACACTGCTTCTCTTCACCGTGGGACGCGCAGAGGTACATCCAGTCTCCGGCGTTCATGGCTGCACAAGTGCTTGGACGGAGGAACCGGTCGCACTCGATCTGGAGCGAGGTGAGCCAAGGCGTGGTTAGATCGAGGACGAGTCTGCGGAGTTGTTCGTAGACCCAGACGTCTGTGTCTACTGATTGGAAGGAAACTTCGTCCGAGCTGTTGGAAGAGGCGGTGGAGGAAGGATGAGGAAAGGCAAGAGACTCAATATCGGCTTCGGTAGGGAGGGAGGTGATTGCTTCGACGTTGTGCGGGTCTCGACGGACGAGCATGCTGAGATACTCTTGCAGTTGGAAGGGGCTTTCACCTCCAGCCGCGATGGTCGAAGTGCTTGTATTACTGGATGGGCCCGCTGCGCTTGAAGATGATTCAGACGTGCAAGATGGATCATATTTGGATTCACTTGCAAATTGGCGTTGTTCAGCAAGCGAAACCACTTCGTCCAACTTTTGACCGCGGCGGATGCGGTTGCGTCGAGGTTGTGGCTGCTTGGTCGTAGATTTTGTTGGCATCGCGATTTGGGACTGCATTGTGTCGGTGATGCTCATCTTGTTTGATGCTATCGCTGTGTACGTTGATGATGATGAGATGACGGGAGGCAGGAAGGAAAGAGGGAAGGGACACGGCTCACGAAAGAGGAACCGATGAAGTGGGAGTGAATCAACGCTTGTGTGTGAGATGGAACTCGGAAAAGTGCAAATTAAACTCGCGTGTGTGTGTTTGTCTGTGTGTAGGCTTTGCCTTGCAGAAAGGCAAATTTGAGCGAGTCTACACGATCGCAAAGAAGGCTGCTGCAGTACTGTAAATTACATTAAATTTACTATACTGGTACAAAGCATGGCGCACCTAGAAGCGCGTGAGTGAGTGAGTGAGTGCGTGAAGCGTTGGCGCGTGATTTTGAACCCAACACAGGGGCTTACTTGAGAATTGAGGGGCGAGGTGCACCCAAAATTTCGACATCCGACACCCTCACTTTATCACACCGTCAGTCTAACGCGTTGAACTGGTGTCGTGCGACGTTTTTCACACACTTCTTAACAAGACAATCTTGTGGGTACCAAATTCAAGATGCACGTGCGACGTGCCCTCTTCTTAGCTTTTTGGTTAATTCGTGCGGAAGTAACAATCATCACTCTTACATTCCTTTAAGTTTTCCTTTCTTGGATCGGCATGTGGTGCACGACCGATCCTCTCCGGATCCCTCGCAGAGGAGCGGTCGGCCTAACACGACCCTCCTACCGTCCAACCGCGGCTGGCCCCGCCGTAAGCAGAATACGGCCTTCGGCAATCTAACATTGTAGCGCCGCGGTGGGAGGTAGTTACCGCAGTTGGCATGGGAGGTGGTCAATAGTTCTTGGACTTTACCACCCCGCCCCCGCCTGACATGAGGTTGCCTCCGGACCTCGTCGCATGTCTCTATAGCAACGCAGTAGTGTGCTCTGACCCTGACCGCCTGTGTTGCCTACGCCTACGACCCCTCCGTACCCGTAGACCCTACTCCGGCTGTAGCCGCCCCGCGGTACCTAGACCCTACGGCCTTAACAATTATTCAATTCCAGACTTGGTCTGGCTTGAGTTGGATCACCTTGATGCCGCTTGGGGCCCTTTGCCTGTTTAGTTTGGACTCATTGCCTGACCCACACGCTTGGGAAAAAGCCTGAGCCCCATCAGATCCGAGACTTATCGACACTCATTTGAAGAAAATATGATCTGAGTATTTATATATGCTTAGCTGTCAGATCATGACATCTGCGGGGCTATAGCTCAGTGGTAGAGCGTCTCGTTTGCATATTTAAAAGGTGTGAAATTTCGAGAAGGTCTGGGGTTCAATCCCCCATGGCTCCAAATTTCTTTTTTTAATCTGAGTGCATGATTATTGTATTTTTCGACATCATACTTTTGACCCAGATTTTACGGTGGTTGAATACAGTATATTGCAGTTGAAATCTACGAAGGAGATTGCGGTGGAACTTGGTTGTTCCTGGCTCTGTCACTCATTTTCATCTGATGCAAGGGCGGAGCCAACGCTGCACTTAAGTCCATCATACTGCGCTGTATGATGGAGAGAGGATGGATAACAATCCAAATATAAATGTGTGCTTACTGTGCATCCTTGACTGTTTGAACAGAAATTGACGACGTTGGTGACCAGGGGCTGACCATGGTGTCTCCACAGTCACAGTCGTGTGTGCTGTAGAATAAATTTCGATCTTGGGACCTTTGTGTTTTAGTGTATCCCGACAGGTCCACTCAAGAACGCTTTGATGCCATACTGTGCCTCACTCTGGAACGAATGTGCGCACCTTTTCATTCTGGTGCGCATTCGGCATTATCGCCCAGCGTGCATTCAAGCACAGTACAGACACGTACCCTGCGAGATCACATTTCTACTCTGGCCTCAATCCTCTCCCGCGTGCCAAGTCTCCATGGTTCCGCTGTTTTCGGTTCTCAAGTCCGATCATGAAGCTTCCTTGAACTACAAACAGATGAAATCGAACCAGCTTGAGTCGACTCACAGCTCATATTCGGGCAGCTGTCTAAAGAGCTGAACGAGGAAAGGAACAAGAGGTGGATCACGTCGTGTGACGAACTCACACGTGTTGTCGGCTGAAGCGGAAAAGCCTTTCTTGACCCGACAAGATTGCGACACAGAGTGTGCCATTTTGAGTTTAGACTTCATTCTCCCCTCTTTGACCCTCGTTTTTTATTTTTTATTTTTTATTTATTTATTTATTTATTTTTTAATTTTTTTAAAAAACCTTAAAAGTAGACTGCATGAAATGGCATGATGTGCGCTCAGACCCCCACCCTTTCCTTCAATGAGACCCACTGCGCTTCGATTAGACGGACGACACATGCATTCCAGGCGGCACCAAGCTAACTAATAATCATATACAGGGGTGCTATTCTCATGAAGAAGGTTTCGGCGTACGTTGAGATCCCTATCGCATGGGCAGCCATGCCCTTCAGCCAAGCCAACGCAGTGCGAGTGCGCTTTATCTGTAGCATATATGTACACCGCTCGCTCTGCTCCTAGCTTCTCCTCCCCCTTCAAGGCTCAGCTTCCTTCTCAGCCTCGGGTCTCTCTTTCCTTCACCCCGCTATCATACATCTCCAGGTCTCAGCTTCCCGTATTTAGAACATCAGCAACTTTCAGCGAAGATGGGAGAGGAGTTCGAGTACCGCATAGTGTATGCGCGCGAGAACAAGCCGCTCATCAAGGCAAAGGATCTGCACGTCGAAGTTGAAACCAACGCCATCCCCCCAGGCGGTGTCCGATGGAAATTTGCTACTCGCTACAGGGCTAGTAGGCCAAGCTACCGGAATGTGCTGTTGCAGAGCATCCTCGACATGTGCAGACAGCACAAACTCACTCCGCTGGAGATCAAGCATCCGCATTCTCAGGGAGGCTACGAATTCGTAGATGTCACCTTTGCAAGCCCAGAGGACGTTCTCAAGGTCTACGATGGCGATATTACCTTTGACTTCTACGGCACCGAACCCGAACTCATTGACCGTGGTATCCCCGATCGCAAACACGTCGCCATGTGCGTCCAAATGCTACCCACCGATACCGACCTCCAACTGGTAGTGAAGCAGCTCCAAGAAAATGAAAGAATCCGCCAGGCTGGTCGCATAAGGGATGTGTGGTCACTACACTGTCCCACTTCCGGAACTTTCAAGGGCAAGGTGCTCGTGCTCTTGAAGTTACACACGCAGAGGGGCCTGGCGCCCCTGGACGTACGTTCCGCCGTTCCAGGCTGGTTCGTCTTCAACAAGACCGCCTACCTCGTGCGATTCGCCGATCGACCGGGTTGGTGCTTCAACTGCCGATACGACGAGAAGAGCCCTTTTCACAGCGTCTTTAGCTGTCCAAATGCTCCCTGCAGTACCTGCGGTAACAAAAGCCATTCATCGGTGCAGTGCTCCAAACGAAAAGCCTTGGTCGCAAGAAACGCGCAAAAGGCCAAAAACACCGCCTCTCGAGATGACCCAGACGATGACTTTTCGTCCAGGGCCCGTTCGGCTCGCGACCCGGCTTCGGTGGAGCGAAGATTCGCCGAGCTTGGCATCAGGGACAGTAGCGTAGAGCCTGATCAGCTTGCTCTCGACTTTGATGTGCTTGCGCTTTCAGAAAACGATCTTAGCAGCTAGATGATTCAATCAGATGCACGCATCCAGCGTCCTGGCTCCAGACAAAAGTAGGATCGAATGCAAATGCTGTGAATGCTGCTGGTCGTGTTCGAGTGCGAAACAGAGATTCATGAACGAACCTCACATATTTGACATGTCTGTGCCGAGCGAACGCCTTCACACACTCTGCAGGATCACATTGTTGGCTTTCATTCTCTTCTCGCATTTTCGCATGGCTGAAGAGAGATCCTCTCCAGTGATGATCATTCAGCTCTACACAGTCAAACATCAAGATTCTGTTCAGCGTCATTTGATTTGCACAACGAGCGCAAATGGGAGCAAGAACCTATTTTTCATTAACTATCATATCGTGAGACATATCGCGCGAGCCACATGTCGCGGCCACGGAATAGCTCTACTCTCTTTCGGTCCATCAAGGCTTGGAAGAGCAGATTATTAACGCACGGATGGGGCGGCCAGAGGGCTGACCGCTGCAGAGCGCAGCTGCGAGTGTTGCGCAAAGTGGATCGTTGGTCGATTTGCCGAGATGAAGCTTGTCTCCATCTCCATGCCTGCCATACTGCATGCCGCGCCATCAGTACACATAGCGAACCACGGCTTAGCTGCACTTGTGCGGCGCAGCGCAAGTCTTAAGCATTGAGATCAGGTTGCAAGGACGATTAATGCGAGGACTTGCGGTACCGCAGATAAATATAAGCGAAAGCTCCACGCTCACCATTCCCGACCGATGTCGCATCAGTCTGCCCCCTCCGGTTGAGATCCCGTGCCACCGTGCCCGACTCTTGATACCCTGTTTCAACACTCTGGCTGCCGCCGTCATCGAAATGCGCCACGACTTTGAGTATCGCCTTGCGTACTCGTCGGGCGCCAAGCCCATCCTCGAAGGTCGCCACCTTCACATCGAACTTGATTCTACCGGAGTTCCTCCCGGTGGCGTCCATTGGCAATTCTCCACCCGTTTCCGACCTAGCAGATCGAGCTACTCGGACGTCTTGATCGAGACCATCATCAAGATGTGCAAGAAGCACAACTTGACCCCACTCGACGTTCGACTTTCGCTGCAGAGCGGCTGTGGTGGACGCTTCGTGGACGTAATCTTCGCGAAAGGGGCCGACGTGCTCAAGGTGTACGAAAACGAGATCTCGTTCGACTTTTACGGAACCCAACCCAAGGTCGTCGACCGAGGTACGCCCAACCCCAAGCACATGGCCTTGTGCATTCAGCTGCTGCCAAGAAAAGTCAACTTCAATGCGGTGGTCGATGCACTGCGGACGGATCCCAGAATGCTTGAAGCTGGTCGCATCTCGGATGTCTGGTCGCTCCATCGTCCTGAATCCGGCGTCTTCACAGGCAAGATACTTGCACTGCTCGAACTACGCACGCTGAACGCTGCAGTGGCATATGAAGCGCGAGCTGCCGTTCCCGGTTGGTTCGTCTTTCGAGGCACCGCTTATCTCGTTCGTTTCTGTGATCGCCCCATGTGGTGCTTTGATTGCCGTTACAACGATAAGATCGCCTTCCATAGCCTTCATACGTGTCCATTCATTCGGTGCCAGACTTGCCGAGCGAGGGACCACGCCTCGGTGAATTGCCCAACGCGTCAGGCGCAGGTCGCTTGTAAAAAGCGAGTCCCGCGAGAGCTTAGCGACGATGTGGAAGATCAGGAAGAGGACCCTTCGTTGACCGAAGTCGAACGAAAGCTGGCCAAACTTGGCGTTCGAAATAGATTCACGGGAGCGGTACAGCTTGCGCGTGACTTTGGTGTGCTTGCGCTTTCCGAGGACGATCTTGGCAACTAAACATACTCGAACGAATGAGCGTACGGAAGTACTTGGTTCGTCAAGTGGAGAAATGATGTAACCGAAGCAAAAGTTGGAAACGCTATTTGGTCATGTCATGTTGCGAAAAGAAACAAATCGTTCGACCTCGCCCCTTCAGTATGTCTGTGGACTCTCTTGCAATGCTGCCATTTGATGCTTGACGTGGAGAGAAAGCTCGTCCGCTGAAGGGCACGACCACTGCATGAACGGATCCGAAACTGTACTGCTGCTTAGATGCGCGTCTTCAGATGCATCGATCCTTTTGCTGACGGCTATAGATGTCAGTGTCGAACGAGAGCGCAGTGTTGATCTAGAAAGGGGCGTCGGCGAAGCGGTGATACTATTCGATTTCGTCGAAAGCCGTTCTAGCGGTTTCTTAGAGCTGTTCCTCTCCGGGGCAATGATATTGCCTACTGAAAGTCTCGAAAACTGGTCTGCGTCTAGGACCTGATCGAGCATGTCGCCCATCTGGAGCGATCGCGAATTGGGTAGAGGTGAAGTCGAGTGTGACTGCTGGCGTAGCGGAGTATGGTCAATCCTTCCGAACACATCTTCTTTGTGGTTCCCCGCAGCGGTGGGCGTACGGGCTTCGTTGTGAGCGCTGCATGGAGCTGTAGGAGAGACTAGATCGAGCTTTGGTGTATCATGAGACGCTGTGGGTGTGTCATGGAAGAGGCGCCGTGAAGAAGGCTGATGAAAGGGACTGCTTTCGATGCTGCTAGTGCTGCTGGCGGTGCTCATTCCCATGATCATAGGCTGTTGCAAGATTTGAGAAGGCGACTTGGACGCCTTGCGCCGAGGTGGTGATACGGAGGTCTGCTTCCTTAGTGGTGCACGCGATGAAGAGGCGATGATCGGTGGCGGTGATTC